AGTTATGAACCTGGTCCCAATCTCGATTTTAGAAGTGGTTCCCAACCTACTCCAAACCTGTACGCACTGCTTCCGATCTAATATTTGTATCACAATCTAATTATGAACCTGGTCCCAATCTCAGTTTTTAAAGTGGTTCCTAAAAAGGACATCTTTTGTTTCTCTATAAATCCCCTACCAATGCTACCTTATCGTCGCCAAATGTTTGACTCCTGTCGACTTGTTAGAAACATGGCATGACATATGGCAAAACTCCTACCCATACGACCTGCCTCCTCGCCACAACACTGTTGAAACGCGAAAACAGCGAACGCATCTTCCCCCAAAACTGGTCTGGATGCATTCCTTGTTATTCACAACAGTACTGTATGCATCTTGCCATTCTCTGCGGGAAGATACGCTCTTATACTTCTTTCCTTTCGACAGTGGTGTGGCGAGGTCCAACGTTAAACATGGTTAGTTGTGACACACTTCTGGTCTGATGTAGAGTCCGATTCCCCCGCAGCCCCTCACCACCGCCGCAAATTCTAAGACTATTATGCATACATCATATTATAGCATGTACATGATATACATTTACTTCATTTGATTCATTTCTTAAATCATAAATCTTGCAAAAACTCGGAGCATGTACTTCAAATTATAGCGTACAACACGTTACATTCAAATACAACTTCCATTATAGCACATTACATTCGAATACAACTTCCATTATAGCACGTTGCGTTCGAATACAACTTCTATAATAACTGTACATTATACATCGTATCCATACCTGATCTAGAGCCCGGTCCCAATACTAGAGTTTGACAACCACCGTCTTCCCACGAACATACGCCACACCCTGATAATCATTGTATACGACCTATATTTCAGCTTAGATACATCCTCAATGAGGACGCTTCGTGTTCGGGGGAATACGCGAAGTACCTTTTGAGAATTCGAATGAGCCCATAGGAGATGTTACCAGCCTCGCGACATGGGCCATCATGGCTCCTTTGGACGCCCCGTTCCAAGCCTCCGAAATTTTGGAAACGGCACGATCGCATTCTCGACTTGACAGATAAAAGGCTGCCATGCACTGGTGGAGTATGCAACAAATTTGAACCAAAAACATCATTATGTCAAATCTGTACATTTACTTTCCAACAAATTGAAAAATGCAATTATGTGAAAGGAAATCACACTAGTTCAGGTCGAAACAATGTGGCGGAGATTGCTAAAAGACTGATGCAGAGAACATGGTCAAAACATATAAAGTGTGTCCTCAGAAAAAAAAAGATTATGTTCAGGCACAAACATCTATATTCTTTTGAGATTCCCGGGAAAAACGAGAAATGAAACCGCGACTTCTGGCGTGACAGACCAGCACTCTAACCAACTAAGCTATTTTCCCATCTGGGTAAGACAAGGCACTCTACCAACTAACCTAATTACCCACATGTGGTATTCCCGATCTAAACTTTTAGGTTAGTCGTCCTAATGGACATGTAGGTTATACCTCGTCACTGGTTTTTCATGCTGACCTATCGAAGGTTTATAGTCTTTGCTAGGTGTTTTTATTTATGTACTACTGACCATCAATGTATTTGGAGTCGTTTTAGCTGTACACAAAAGTCGTTTAAAATACATAGCGGATGTGGCCCCGTCAGCATGTCCGATTCCTATTTTAGCTATTTCAATGTCTATTACCAAGTCTTCATTCAGCTTTAAGTCTAATCACAACAGTGCTACAGCTGCAGATTGGCAAAAAAAAAAACACGAGAAATGCAAAAAAAAAAAAAGGCAGATTGGAGACGGAAAAGTGGAAGAGGCAGCAGCATGCAGGTGCGTCGGTGGTTTGAAAAGACATGGGGCCGAGGCAACAAGCTCGCAAAGATTGGCCTAACCAACAAGCCGATCCTAACTCCGTGACTCAGCAAGTACGGCAGGGAGGCAATTGTCCAGCAACATGATTAAGAACGGAGAGGAGGTAGAAGATAAGGGATGGGAGCAGCTAGAGGGAGGTCGTCTTAGCTCCGGCCCCCCCAGGATTCTTGTACTACGCCACCGTAGGCCAACAAGGGGTGGAAGGTGGGTGGGGGTTGGTGGAGGGTGAGTTCCGGTCGGAGGGAGAACAAAGGTTAACGGAGACGCTAATTTTCAGACCACTTGTCATGCCATTTATAAGAAAACCAAAGGGTCATTTTATTCAACTTGCCACCAAGACCATACTAACTGCAAAAACAAATCCAAAAAAAAAAAACAAAACGGAGGGAAGGTCCCACCAGCCGTGCAGGCTGGGTTCCAGACCGTAATTGCTGTAGGTCTGTGTAATAGAATAGAAGAGTGGCTCGTCTAGGAAGCCCGCCCCAGGCATTCCGCACGGGTGAGGCTGTACTCTAAACTGGCGGATACAGTTGGTAATTAAAAAAAAAAAAGCTTGCCCTTCATATGAAGAAGATCCATGTGTATAGTGTGCTTATCACTTTGCTGCAACATCAACCAAACCGCAATTAGGTGAGCAATTTACTGCAGCATACGCTCAACCCTTTTATCTTCTTTGAAAGTCCAATTACGTGTCTGCTTTGGAGTTCGACATTTTGTTTATAGCTCTGAGTAACGTTTATGCCTTCTGCATGCTGCATGGTCGAAGAATAAATCTTAGTCAAAACCCTTGGACGCAGCAAATGCAGGTCTCGAGTACCCCGTTCCTGTTGCACAACACTAAAAAAATGTGCAACCGTCTGAATAATTGCTGGGCTGGATTCATTTATTTGGTAAAGTGTTTGTAGCCACTATGGATTTTGACGAGTCTGGGACCATCTAACGCCCGATTTTTGAGAAAGTAAACAACTCTCGAGTGTTGCTAGTATCTGGGGCGTTTGATAGTACTCTCAAAATTTGGAGAGCACATAGCCTGTAAAATTCGTCGTTGGCTCATCCTCTGTGATGAATTCAGTTTTTGGAAGAGGTTGGCTCATCCTCTGTGATGAATTATGTTGGGGCTGACCTCTTTATTCACTTCATTTAGTTGTCTGCTAGCAATTACTGGCAGTCTCTCTCTAAGAGTGACCTGTCTAAGAGTGAGCAACAAATGCCAACAAAATGGCCGACACTCAATCGGTGACAACCCTCTGTCCATTCCCAATGTCACCACCACTCGTTATTTTTTCCCCTCCATCTCTCCTTTTTCGTTTCTTCGTCTCCTCATCCCCCTACTGTACGTATACCACTGGGAAACAACCACCAGCATGTATCTCCGCTTAACCCAAGGGGCGGGTTTACACCATAGAGCACGCACGAAGCAAAACTTTCGTTGCATCTCAGCATACTGGTGTGTGGCTGGTAAGGCGTTGCTGGCAGGGGAATATCATCAGTACTAGTGCTGAGCATTGTAGGCAATCACTGCACCTCCCATTCCTTCCCCTCCCCCCCCCCCCCCCCCCCCCCCCCCCCCCCTAAACCTACATTAGCTTTGAAAAATAGGCAACAACGTTCAGTTGACCAACGAGCTTAGCTCAATTAGGACACCCCCAAACATCTCACAGGCCGCCGTTCGTGTTTTTTTTTTTTCCAGCTGCACCCAATATGTTGGAACTACTAGAGAAATGGTCGTTTTTTCGCGTTAGCCGCCCTCCCCCACCGGAGGCGCCATCCTACTCCCCGACCACCACCGATAAAGGTGGTGTTGGCGTGAATACCCTCACAAGGGTATTTGCGCGTCTTGGGCCTTAAATTCGTGTTGAGCACAGTGGTTCCAACGAGGTTGAAAAACTGCAGCAAATTTCGAACGAGTTTAGTAATCGACTTTGGGACTAGGTTCATACATAGATTTAGGAACAGGAATCGGGACGATATCGGATAGGAATCGGGACGACGTTGAGACTGGTGTTCAATCAAAAAATTGAAACCAAGGTAAGAGCTAGGTTAGCATTTAGGTTAAGTTTTTTAACATTCTCAAGAACCACGTTTGCGATTACGTTTTGGACGCATTATAAAACCAACCAACCTTGCCATCGGAGTTGTTCCTACCGTCTTCACCCGAATAGAACGCCCGGTCGTTATCGCTGTATTTGGCGCGATTTTCAATCCATGCAACGATAATCACCGGGCGGTGTAATCATGTGAAGACGGCAGCTTCGGCACTTCGAGTAGGCTCTATGATTGGGTCTGCAGCAATCTGCTTGACGTCAGATTGTAACCTGGAAATGGGATAAAGTATCACTAAGGATATATGGGACCACACTTGGGATCGGATTGGGGTTGGATTTGGACTCGACCGCGAGGATCTTCACGGTCAGCTCTGGAAACAAGGAAAGAGGTGCGTTAGGGATAATCCTCACGGTCAGCGTATATAATTACCGTCTTCTCCCGATCTCAACGCGCCCTGAAAAACCCTGTATAGAAGCTGTCTTTCCGGTCTGGTGCAGCCAAAATGAGTGTGCGTTCTGTTTGGTGTCAGGCGTAGTTAGTTCCTGGAATGGTCTTATATTTAGCTAAATCCCCGTAGTAAACTTTTAAAGCCAGACGGAACTGCGAACCTGGGTCGTGAACTTCGAAACTACCGTTTTCACTCGAATAGAACGCACCGTCATTATCGCTGCATGATGACCGAAAGTAATGCCAAATACAGACATGATTACAGGGCGTTAGCCTCAGAACTCGGTTCTTAAGTATGCCCTACGACATGGATCCAGTCATAATCGTGAACCGTCACGATTCTGAGGCTTCTGCCTGTTAGCTTATAATTTCATACACTCCATCTGATTTTTTATCTCATGAATTTTTTTCCAGACTACTAGTAGGTGCATGCATCAAATACCGAGATTCGCATCAAATACCCCATCTGTTTCCCGAGATTCGCATCAAATACCCCGCTCATTCCAAACAACTAGTACGTGCAAATCTTTTCTACCTGTTGGCTTATAATTCAGTACGTGCAAATCTTATCTTCTACCTGCTGGCTTATAATTCATACACTCCATCTGTTTTTCTATCTCATGAATTTTTTCCTTAAACTCTGCAGTATAATTTTATCATATTTATGTCGTCGGAACATGTCATTGTCATTGGATGAATTCTCTTCTTCCTCTCGATCTTTCTTTTTGAGGGACTCCAAACTAGGGAAAGATCAATGCATGGGGGCTCGTTCCACTACTGTCGAAATGTGCAAAACGAGAGCGAATCTTTCGCTAGAACATGGAAACATACACCGTCACGATTTTCGTCTTTCGTGCATGGTTGACATAGAGGAGCGACACTCATGTTCGTGGTATTTCTGACGATGTACGCTAACTACCCAATTCTGCTTTTTTTTCTCATTGTTCGGACAAAATCCATTAAGCAATCGCACCAAGTTACTTTGTTTGTTGTGTGCATATTATACTTCTCGACTTTTATCAGTACGTTGATAAAACACTGGCCGAATCATTAACTAGCAAACATCTCTTTACCCTTCGCTTACTTATGGAGTGGTGCAAGCATTTTCGATGCAAGGTCCACACCATATTTTCAGCATGTTACGTCTGCATGCGCGTGTCACGTGCACAACTAACATCCTACGAGCACGACTCGGAGGTCACCCTTAGATCATCGTCGCCATCGTCACCAGACTGACTTATCATCAAATCCATTCGATTCACAATCGCCGTTTGATTCGTGATCATCACCACTCGACTTGTGTGATCATCACTCAATTTGTGTGGTCATCATCGTCGTTTCCATTCACCAACATCATCATCGGAACTGTGACCGAGTAAGGATGAAATAGCCAGTACGTTGAGATGAAACGAAGGACAGCCCTTTCAGAAACTCAATTTTACGAATTCAATTAAGAACAGGCCCAAGTGCCGTTGACTGGTGACACAGCCCACAGGTCTTTCTCTCTCTCATCTCTCTCTCCCTCTCTCTCTCCGACTGCGTTCTCCGGTACCGGTTATGGACAGCAACTATACTTCATCACTTCACCGCCGCAAAAGTCCACGCAGGGAACGAATGCAAAAAACGCCAATTTAAAACTCGCCCGCAGGGGGAGCCCCAGGAGCGGGAGGAGCGCCACCGCCGAACCCACCACCACCACCACCGCGGCCAAATCCGCGCCCACGGAAGTCAGGCCTGTACTCTCCTGGAGCACCACCCTTCTCGCCGAAACCACCAGGACCCCTGGGGGGACCAGATGCACGGTAGCCCTCTCTATCTCCGAAGGACGGGCGATCTCCTCCGCCAAATCTGGGAGGGCCTCTTGGAGGGCGGTCTCCACCGGGACCGCCGCCGAGAGGACGTGTCGGCGGCCTTGCAGACTTCTTCAATGTAGCGGGAACAATCTCTGATGGCAGATTCAAGTACGTCCGAAGGAACTCGATTCCATCGTTTGTCAAGTACCTGCGACGACAAAAACAAATAAGAACGAAATAGAGAAAGAGCAAATATTAGTATCGATCGCACTCCTTAACAGCGAAACCCCTTAAAAAAACAACCAACACTCACGTCTCAGAAACCGCACCCAGAACAACGACGGCAGACGTTGGCTTCGGAAAGGAGACGAAGATAATTACAGATGTCACGTGCCGCTAACATCGTACCCAATCACATAACACTCGCTATCACCTACAACCGAATAGAACTCCAGGGCATCATATCATGGCTTCACAATGACTAAAAGTTGCCCCGAATACGATGGCTGTATAATGACATGTCGTTCTGTTCAAGTGAAAAGGGTAGCAGCTATATCCTTAAGAGAAATATCCTTAAGAGGAAAGTGATAATTCGTCTTACAAAATGGTCAGAAATTAGATTTCATATTCGACCATCCCCGTCCGTGGACAGGCCCATATAATAACATCCCAACAGATCCCCAACCTTTCCGTCATTCAACATGGAACAGAGATTGCAATCGGAATAGAGTATAACACCTTGTTCGGCAATGGGGGTCTCTCACCAAGCGCGCCAGTCGAGCACGGCAAAACAATTTCACAGCAGAACAACGACGATTCAGCCCCTCCCGGGTTTCATAAAACCCTACCGAGCCCGAGCTCAACGCACATAAAAGGTAACAGTAAATGAGACCGAGAGAGATACATACGGAGCGACGTACATCCTATTCATGTGTGATCAAAAGGGATGCGAGGAAAGCACAACGTTTTTTTCTTCTCGACTTTGCTTCAGGACTACGATGGAAAACAAAAACATCCAAGGACGAAGATGTACGACTGCATATCAGCCCCATACGCCGATCTTTCTTTACTTTCAAATACAATCACATGTGCGACAAAGAAACGTCTACTGAAAACGTCATACACTACCCACACTGTCAGCATAGAATGCACCCCCACCGCTTCCCAGAGCAGTCCACATTGCAATACCCCTTACCCGGCTCTTACTTCGTCTCCTTCGACGGAGAAAATTTCGATTGTAACCCAGGTACTCTTTTCCCTAACCACACTCATAGCAGAGTACATATTACTTCTCGTTTTCCTCAGGTTTGGCATCGGGAGTTCTCAGACTGAGGCCTGTTGTGGGTAACTCACGTCATCCCAGACGAGTTTAGATTCTCAGATTAGATTCAACTATCCATCTTCGTCCCCAAAAAAAGGACCTGTAATTATTGCTCATAAGAAGTACTACAAAATGCAGCTATCATCACTGGGCGTTCCATTCGTGTTTAAGACGGGTAGCTAACGCCATCTGAGGCTCCTATTTCTAACTCAAGGCCACAAACACAGAATGCCACGGAATGCACCGGACTGGGCTAGGGGACGCCTGGCAGGGTGTCGCCGTTCACCAGAGCGACTATCATCAATCTCATAATCGGGTTAACCAAGACGACAGGCCAGACCAGGTTAACCAAGACAATCATAATCTGGATCCTTACCAGTAATAGTGGCGCCATGCAAAGCTCTCCTTCACGTACTCCTTCGACTTGAAGCTCTGCATCAGCTTAATGACCTGCGTCAGATGCAAACGCAAGAACAGTCAGCACCGTATGCCTGTGAACGAAAACGGTTAGCGATACGACAACGGGCCTGGCTCAGATAGTATCACTTTGCATCCCTATGAGATATCCGCGACAAAATACGATTTCAACGAGAGCTACAAGAACGATCAACGTCCCATAACCATGGGAAGGCTCCTAGAACATGGAGCAAAATAGCACGGCCAAACCCTAATCCTGCCGACGCCTCTGCACCAGCAGACCAGCTAATTACTCGTTCACTCGACAATAGCACAGTGCACTTCTATCATAAGTGCGCGAATTTCACACTTCAATAACTGCTCCAACAATTCGTCATTACCAAAAAAGCAAAAACAAACAACATTATCCGGATTTAACGACCATGCTCCTCACCTGCAGATTTGGGACATCGATTTCCGGGTGCTTCGGCGCATTGAAGTCTTTCTTGGCATAAAGTACCCCCTCTGCACAACCAGACAGCATAATGACCACAGTGACAAGCAGCTTCAATAACACTTTCCAGCACCGCTTTGAACCTGGGACCTGCCATATCCAATCAGGCTCGCCAGCTCACCAACTTCCACCAAACATAAAATCTTCGTGCCAGGCGGGCGGAATAAGCAACCAGCCGACGATGATAACACCCGTCATTACTCTTGAGTGGAGCTGTGCTAATCCGCTCAACCTACCCGCTGCAAACCGACCGCTCCAAGACAGACGACGTGGTTAACAATGGAAAGCAGCCACCTGGCTTCGTTGATACAGTGCGCCAGCTTGCTTCTCGACGAACATAAAACGTTCCATCGAACGCGCAAACGTTTGGCCAAAATTCGATTCTTCGGCCATCACATCTCTGCAATTCCCAGTTAATTATGGCGGACGAGGAAGTGCCTCACCAAATACGTGAGAGCGAAATCTACCGACCTCAACACGGTGAAAGCCATGCCCGGGAGATGATTGGTTCTCTCTCGAACAAACGGGGAGTATCGAATTCATCATCTACCACGGAACGAGACACGCCATAAGTTCACCCGTCGGCCAACTCCTTTCCATTCATAGATTGCAAAATAGCGACATTCTCTTGATAGATATCGTCATCTTTCCATTTCGGGAGTACTGTTCACGGACTCCCGCGTCGGCCTTGCCTTCCTGCGATCGTACTTTRGGGKTTCTCTACCRAAAAAGTGCGACCGCCGATCTAATTACATGAATGGCCTTTCGATCTAATGGAGCAGGATCTACAAGTGCAACGAATCAAGGGTTAACCGCTCAATCTGTATCGATAGCAATACCATAGTCGTCGCCGCTATGCAATAACAAAGCATCTCCGTACCCACCTAGCCACAGCTCTAACAAAGCCCCCGTTAAGCCAGCCCACCGCATGCATAAATGAACTCGCCACATCCTAATGCCAGAGCCAGCACCAGCAAAGCGAACCCACCTTCATGAGGCACTTAATCCATCCATCGGGAACCCTTTATAACTATGCTTAATCAATCTCAGGGACCAGCAACCCTTTAAAACGATGCTTCCACGCTTTCATTGACTAACAATACTCTGAACACATAGTACGGGTGACGGCATGAATCTGTCATCTCACCTTTGAAGAGGTACTTGTACACCTCCGTGCGGTTCTTCTTTGGAATCAACTGCAAAAAGAATCAGGAAAACAAAAATGACCAGTTAGAAGGGAGATTATTAGAGAACCACACTCTGCACGGACATTTAGAAACTACAACCTAAAAAAGCACGATTTAGCATTGATGCCGATGTATCGCATACGGAGGCACACGACCAAATGCAACGACACTTCCACAGCATGCACATACACACGACAGTCGAAATAGAAATTCCAGTTGAAGCACTGGCGTCAACCGTAGCCGAATGAAGAGATCTAGTCCCGTCAAGCCGGTGTACCGACTGCGTGGGCTACGGGTAACCCGATACGCCTTTTTAGATAGGAGGTTGGCACCGCCGGTTTGAATTACATTGCGCATTAGCTTCTCCAAGGGGCGAAATTTACTAACGCAAAAATTGTAGACGAAGGGAGCATAGCGAGCATAGCACAAGAAGCATACAAAGAAGGAAAGATTACGGTCCACTCTGATCGAGGACAAGACACAAGAGGAAATAATTCAGACAATTTACTGACAGGGGACCTGAAGGAGAAGAGGGAAGCATACCAGGAGCAGCCAAAGAAGGAGAGATTACGGTCGCCTGTGATCGAGCGAAAGAGAGAGACCCTAGATGAAGAGGAGTGGCTATAGAGAAGCAAACACCACTTCTACAAACGAGATACCCTAGAAAGGTCAATAAAACAAGATGTACAGGGAAGGCCAATACACACTCCCTGGGAAACCCTAAACAAGCAAAACTGAGTGACCGTCGAAGTGGCATGTTAGTCAAATGAAACTCCGCCAACGTGTGAAGGTACGCCCTTTTCAGCACATTGGTTAGCAATGCTCGCCTCCATCACTGGACCGTATCGACTTATCTTCCTACCTCCTCACAATCCTCTCCCAATACCTTCCCTTGCTTATTCTCCTCCATCCCAAGAGACCTCTCCCATCATCTTCCTCTCTATCCCCGATAGACTCAATTGCTGTCGTCAAAACTACTGTTGAAACATACTTTGGACTCCCTGACCACTGCTTCTCTACCTCGTTTCTCCCGTGACAACGTCCTCTAGACCATCTCTTCTCAATACAAAATGTTCCGTCCTCCCTTTCTCTCCCCCCACCACCTACTGTCTGTCACGATTTCCTCTGTTATGACTTTTTAAGCGTGTCCTTACACACTCTTGCCCCATTACTCGATCGCAGAATTCAATACCATCTCTCACTCTTCTGGCCCCCACATCGTCACCTCCGTTAACCCTCCATCTCACACTCCACGTATCTGCCTCCCTTTACCTATTTACAGTCTAGCTGCCCCGTTTCTGAACTCCACACCCCTCTCCACAATCCACACCTCCCTCCGCTCTTCCTGCCTCTGCTACTGTCTTCTTGCCCATGTCTCGGTCCACTATTCACCTCTCGATACTCACGTCTTTTCGACTCCATACCCTCCTGTTCTTGACCCACCCTATCCGGGTCTAGAACCTCCAGCCCTAACATCGGCCTCTTGCACTCAATCGTCAAAATCCCCCCAGGTCACGACCTTCCCATCACCATACGACCCTGAACTCGCCCTTTCCGTAGCTCTCCCTGTCCCTGCCTTTCTCTGATTCATCAACTCCTCTCCTCATTAGCATGCTTCAATATCGGCCTTGGTCATCCCCCACTCTTTTGTCTTCATCGCATCCTTCCCTCTCTCTCTTCACAAAGAATTGTTCTTTTCATCTCCATCGCATCCTTCCCTATCTTCCTCTTCCCAAAGAATTGCTCTTTTCATCTCCGTCGGTTGCAATCACCTCCTTCAAATCGTCTTACTCCATTGGCGGGAACCCCTCACCGCCGAGCTGGCCATGTACCACGCACGACTCATCCGCTGTCGAACGAAGACAACATAGAGCGTCGATTGTTCGCCAAATAAACGCTCCAAAACCACAGAAATCGTAACGCCCATTCTGGACCACAAACGCACGAAGAGAGACGTCCAGGCACAAGATGACGGACCTCAGCTATTGTGTCCCGACGACGTCGACCTGGCTTGGTGTGCATGTGAATCGATCCGAATAGAGTTACGTGGACACGTGGCCCGACCTTGGGCTACACAACAAGACCTAATTGCAAGACGAGGCGATGGAGAGAGGGTAAAAAGACGGCCAGAGTCGAGCGCAATACCATGGTTGCTGTCTTCTTGATCCACAAAACGCTATTCACCGACGAGCGCGGTCTATGGCGACTAACCGTGATGGTGGGAAGAGGACATCGTCCAGTGACCGGACCCCTCTTGTAGGCCGGGGACTATCTCTGCTCTCCCCGTCGACGAGACTTTCTCTCGCTTTCACCTACACTCTGGGCATCAGACGAGGCCCAATTGGGAGAACCGGACGCACGCCCCACTTCGGAAAAAAATGGACCCCCTCAGCACCTCCCGCCTCAACCTCAAGCCCTGCGCGGTTGCCGCCCATAAGCGGCGGGGTGGGACCAGGCGCATTGCCCGAAGAAGTGCCTGCAAGGTTGAGCAACAGAGTCCCTTGCGGACGAAGTCTGGCAGTAGTGGTCAGATACGTCAAGGACAACGAAGTCCTGATGTATGGGGCAGACGCGACTCCCGTTATGTTTGTGCGTGGGAAACATGAACCTGGCCACAAACAAGGCGCTTCGTGATTTCCTACCATGAACATAGCACCAGCAGTGCCTGCCTCTGTGCCATCTACACCCCGAGAAACCGCGGTAAATAACAGACGGGTTACATTTCCTTCAGCTCTGTGCAGGAACGTATGGTAAAATAGGAACACCTGAAAAGGAAAAATTTGCAGGACATTTTCCCAGCCGAAGGCTGCGGTTGCCTTTTCTGTCGTCTAGTGCAGTTGCTTTTTTAGGAAGGTAGATGACGGTTAAGCGGGGTCTAAAGGGCGTCGACAGGTGTCGTGGAAGGGTGTGGTCGGGGAGGTGAGAACGACCAGCAGTCCTTAGAGTGGTCGCGGGAGTGCTTAGAGTAGCAAGACCGGTGCACGGAATGGAGGTCGCTCATGGCACAACGACTGTCGGCATCCTGCAGGTGTCGGCAGTTTCCTTTTGGGAGCAAGGGGGGGGAGAATAAGGGGCCAAAACAAAAAAAACAGGAAGGGGGGCGAGAATAGGGGCCAAAGAAAAAATTAAACCACCACCACTTGGCCCATACATGGGCCGCTGCCCTTCCCCGTTAACGCACCGACGCCTTAGGGGATCGGCCAAGGGAAGGCCCAGTATCGAGCGCATCAGTCCCGCGCCACGCAGGGCGGGACCCTCCCGGCCGCGTCACGCAGGAGTTGATTTATTCCTCATCGCGATACACATGGAGTTTCCACAAGCCGCTCCGGTCGAGTGTGTCAGTCATACCTCTCGCGAGACCCCTACGACAGGATAGGGTCAACACGAGGCACGACTTACCTCCACCTTACCGAAGTTGTCACCTCCCTTCGGTGGGCATATCCCTGTCGAGCTACTGGTCCAAAATACGAAAGTTAATCAGTTGCAATCGCAGAGGTGGATCAACCGAGGGTGTTTCTCGTTCGCTGTAGCATAGGGGGTACGCGCGGTTTCACACCTCTATCGGACCCGCACACGAACCGACGCACTGGGGGGATGAAGTCCCTAGCGCGACTCGTCGTCGGTCGACTAGGCCGCATCGCATTCATCACGTGTTACACCACAACACACACATATACAGAACGACACAAAACAAACAACGCGACAACCCTCCTAGTCTCTTTTGTATCCGTCCCATAACCTTCCGACGCGGAAATCGGATAGGCGACGCGCGCGAGACTTTGTATGAAAACCACGCGGACGCAGAACCTCTCCATATCGACTAACAATGCATGAATACGCAAGCAGTCGCAATGATAACATACTATGTAATGCCCACAATCGAGCGGTCCCTCGTGGATCCTAGTACCGCTTATGACATTCAAGTGTCAATCCCGAAGTATCGTGAGGGTCGAACTCTTCACGATATTGCACGGCTGAAAAAGTGGTCGTTTGACCCTCGCTGCACGTTCGACCCTTAGGCCGAGTGTCCCGGTGGGTAAGGCAAATAGGCTCAGCGCGAGGGGTGATCCCTTCCACGCGGAGTCTAGGACTTGGGCTGCTCTGGACAAGGACTTCGAATCCAGGCCCAGGACCAACGTCCAACTAAGAAATTTTTTAATAAGAAAACAATAGTAAAGGGATGAAGTTTTTCTTCCTTTCTCAATTTCGAACTCAATCAAACCCTTAAGTGAGGGCTCCTTAGGCAACGCGAACACCCAAACATAGGTATGTACTTATATATGTAGTGAAGAATAAGTATGACGATCACTTCTCACAATCACTGTGGGACTCTCCTCATCCATATATATGTATGTGATCGCAGACAGTTAAAATCAAAATCTGAATCACAAAGCATACCTGCAATCACATTAAAGAATTAATAGAGGTCTACGCACTACACGGGGTCAACTTTAACCACTCTCTATACTCATACCCCTTGCTTTAGCCACGCAAACCCCAACCTTTTTCCAACCTCTCAAAAATAAATATTCAGCACCTTCGATGAATGGTCATTCAATAAAAGTCTGGGTGAAAACCTTAACAAAACAATAGAAATCACCAGGGCTAAAGTCTTTTAGGTTGAGTATTGAGGATGGATTGGAGTCCAGTCGTAGACCGACGAATCGACAACCGACCTGTTATCAGTGATAACAGAGGATGATTCTTAAAGGATCAAGCTAAAAGTAGTTTGAATCTTGAATCCGAACTTGAACGATAAAAAAGACTTGTACCATAAGAAAGGTCAATGCCCAAGTTAAATTTTTAAGTCCATGGAGAATAATCCCCATATCACGATCTTGCTAAAAAATAATTATACTTAACTAAGCCTAAGTCTACCTCTAAGCAGATGCCTCAAAACAAGGTAGACCCTAACTGGATCTCCTCTATACTGAGTGGATCTCCATAATCGCCCCCTGTCAAAATATAATCTACCTCCTTTAAACTAAGAAAATTTTGGCAGTGCTTCCTGTAGAAAAAGTGTCCTTTCATAATTTATACTAACCCGAATATTAAAACTAAAATAATTTGTAACACTAAAAAGTCAAATTTTGTCTAACTCCCTGAATTAGTAAAAATTAGGGCAGCACTCCCTTTAGAAAAACAAACTTCCCAAATTTATACTAACTCAGATAAGAACTCAAAGTAAGACTTAAGCCCTGCTAAGACAAAATTTAACCAACTCCTTAGATTTGTAGCAATTTCGGCAGCGCTTCCGTAGAGAAAGTAGTTTTTCAAAACTTATACAAAACTAAGTTTAAATCTATAAATAAGTTTGACTTCACAAAGTTCAATTTTGTCTAACTCTTTGATTTAACAAAAATTTGGGTAACACTCCCTTTAGAAAATTAGACTTTCAAAATTTTTACTAAGCCATACATAAAAATTTAGACAAACTGAACTTTGAAAAGTCAAAATATGACTAACTACTTGGTTTTCTAGAAATTCCGGCAGCGCTTCCTGTAGAGAAAGTAACTTACCAAGATTTATACAAGCGAAGTATAAAAAATGATCCCAGAAAATGCGAGAATTGACCTAAGTAAAATAAACTTAACTAAGAAAATGCAATAATTGAACTAACTCCTATGACTCTAGCACGTGGCGAGCTTCTGAAGCAACTATCTATCAAACTGAAACTCAGACTAGGTAGTAATCTCACTCAACCACATGCAAGGTCAAACCACAAAGGTAAGTACTCTCACCAGCCCAAAGTTAATTTTGTCAAGCAATAGTTTGTAGTCTTTCAATGATTTATCTCTTTATACCCAGCTTACTTAAGGCATAAAGCTAGACCACCCAAACTTATGGAACAATGTGTAGCTCATCCATTGAGTATATACAAACACAGGGCACTACAACCTTTCTCTTTCTTGGGCACATGACTAGGTTAGCCAACCTAGTCGCCCTGAACTGTTTAAGTATCCAAATTATATATAATTGTCTGAACTTAGTCTTTTAAGGCAGCATATAACTGAACCGGTCATCTTAGCTCGAGGTTCACCCTGCCCCTTCGTACCACAAGTTTATTCTTAATTAATACTCTCTTAAGTTTGTGATAAGCTATAGTCAGACCACCCAAACTTATGGGACAGTGTCTGAGTAGTCTGTTCATAGGTAAAGTAGTAGTACAATATAGCCAAGTTATAACTTTTTGGTTTCAGTATATCTGTGGCATTTGGACCAAGACCACCCAAACTTATGAAACATGTCTGGTCTTCTACTTGATTTATTTTCTTAATGATAAAGCACGAAGAGGTTGAGTCACCCAAACTTATGGAACATGCCTAGACCTCCTCGTTAAAAACCAAAAGAAACTGAGAAAACTCAAAATAACCAAGGCAACCAAGCTACCCAAACTAATGGGACAGTGTTTGGTCCCCCAAAAGTCAACCACAACCAGCCCTCGCAAGTCAGAGCAACCAGACCACCCAAACTTATGGAACATGTTTGGTCCTCCAAGCAACTCAAGAATAAACATAGCACTGGACCTCCCCAAACTTATGGAGACTTGGCCAACCTTTTATGGACCCAGACAGACACAAGCAATACTGCATTTCTCCCATCCTTCCTCCAGATGCAATCCCACAATCTGCTTTAAATCAGACAATCAAACTGAAATTGACATTATGCATACATTCCTTTATTTAAGTCTGGTTTGTCATGAAAGTCAATCTGAAAGTCAAAGTAGGGATGCAAACAATATACTCAGTCAAACATAGCAAAAATTACAAATAGGGGTTATAACTGGGTTTATAAAAGGAAAACAACGCTTACCTCTCAGTTCCATGCCTCCAGAACTCCTCCTTAGTTCCAGCAGAGCTCCCACAATCGGTGGGCTGACTTCCCACATAGTCTTGTTGCGGTTCTACGGGTTGCAATCCCGCCTGCCTCCTTCCTCTCTGAACAAGATTAGACTTAAATCAAGAAAGGCGAAATGAGGGGTTTCAAACACTCGAGATACAGCAGGGGGACTGACTCAACTCTCAGAAGAGGGTCTTGCAATCATCAGTCACCTGAGGGCCCCACAATGATAGCCACGAAACACGTCGTCAAACGATCACTTTTAGTGGTCGGTATGCAACACACCCAAATCCAAATTCTCTTCAAGCTATAGTAACCGCACTTACGTAGAACCGAATCACTCCCCGAAGTTACAGTAATCATGCGCCATCATTATGCCCAAGCCAATCACACTACGTTCAGCAGCCGTGCACAGCATCGTGTACCCGTTGTACAACCTAGCAATACGTAGTAGCGCGCCCACACT